GTCGATAAAAAAATCAAAATTAGCGTCGCTCAGCAGTTGGCGCTATGAGTATATTTTTACTTTCCTCTTGCCGCGCGAGAGGGGCCTAGGAACAAATCATTGGAACCCAGTGTATGCATACTTCGTTAAGCATTTAAAAAAACAAAGTATGGTTGATCTTTCAGCAGTGCTAAAACAATCGTGATGCTTCTGTCGATTTGATGGTACATTCTCATTATGTAAAATCTTGTTTTATGGCTCGCGTCTGCATTGTGTTGAAGTGAATATCCTTGCGTGAACGATAGCTACTTAAAAAAGTAAAATCTGACTTGTAGTTTACATAAATCGAAATGAGTAATTGTCGTGAGAAGTTAAGTGGTGCACAGTACAAGAAAATCGCCAAAGAGAGGTTAGATCGAGAAGAAAAAATCCTTGCTAAAACTCCAAAGTTGGAGTATTTTTTTCGAATAGTACAACGAATATAAAAACGAATATAGATCAAGAGATTGAGAATAACAGTTTTGCAAGAACAAGTGAAAATTCAAGTCTAACATTACTTACTCCAAACGGTAACTCAAACTGAATTTCTACTAATTTTGTTTCTAATACTATTGTGCATTACATATATTTCGTTAATCGTTTCAAAATATAAATTAGCCTTGGCGTGATTGGCCGATTTTAACCGATATTATTAAATTTTCCTTCTTATTTATTATACACATACTTTTCTGGCATTTTAAAAACTATAAATTTTTAACTATATTAGATATATTCCAGTATTTGAACTTAATATTTTCAAAGATATAACAGAATAATTGGCACTTGATTTTATCACGTGATAAAATTACATAACAAAATCACGTAATTAATGACTAAGTAAATCACGTAATGAAATGTTCCAAATCAGTACATGATTTTGAAAATTACATGGTTTGAAAAATCACGTAATGTTAGAAAATCATGTGATTTTATAGCAATCACATTTTAAAGAGCAGAATGATAGAAATAGAGAAACAAAAAAATATACAATTTTGATTTAGATATGTTTATTAATTTTGCATATAGTAATGGAATTACGTTATGTAGTCTCGATAAATGATTTTTTTCAGTAAGGTACTGTTAGCATTAATCATCTAGCATGGAAAGAGACAGGAAACGCAAACGTTCCCGATCTCCGCCAGGAAAAAAGGATAGTAAAGTAAAGCTACAGAAAATGCAATCCCAGTTAGATAATCTCACTTCTTTGCTCAGCAATTTAGTGAATCAAAGAAATACAAAAGAAGTGTCTGAGGAACAGGAGTTTCTTGACTTTACAGGTACAGGTGTGATTAATTACTAATCTGTTTTTTCCATACGAAAAATCAGAATGCGTATTTCACACGAATAACGCAAACCCAATAAGGGTATTACATATATCTGTCTTTTTCCACACGAAAAAGCAGAGCGCTTATTCCACACGAATAAGACACACCTAATAAGGGTATTATTTATAAATTTGTTTTTCCACACGAAAAACAGAGTGCGTATTCCATACGAATAACGCAGACCCAATAAGGGTGTTACATATATCTGTCTTTTTTCCACACGAAAAAGCAGAGTGCTTATTCCACACGAATAAGACGCATCCAACAAGGACTTTAACTACAAATTGTTTCTTCTATATGAAAACAAAAATCCTCTTGGTAAGTAACATTCCTTTCCTTTTTTCAGGGAAAGATTCCAATAAAGAAAATGAGGTTAGGTCTAACAAAATGGACACGGGAAAAGCTCATATAAAAGCTACTGTAGACGAGGAGATTCTCCAAATATTAAGAGAAGATCCTACTGTTGCAAAAGATCAAATATTTAAAATACATACAGAGATTAAAAATCGCTGGAAAAATTGGATGAAAGATGATCTCACAGAAGAGGCTCGGAAAGCCCTGACAACAAAATATCCACGCAAAGGTGACTTATATTCAGAACCTCCCAAAGTCAATTTGGAAATCACAGCAGCCTTAACTGAAGTAGCAAAGAAAAGAGATCAACACTTTGCTCAGGCTCAAGAGTGCGTAGGAACAGCAATTATTTCTCTAGCTGCAGCAGTATCACTGCTTCTGGACGAGCCCGAAGAAGGCGTCTATCAAATAAAACTCTTAGAATATCTGTGTGATACTGGAAAATTGTTGTCCGATGTCTTTCATCAACAGTCCAAAATGAAAGTCTTTCATCACGCCTACAATGAAGAAAAGCGTTAAGCCTCTTGTTGATGCATTACCCTCTGACGAATGGTTATATGGGCAAAAATTGGCGGATCAGATTAAAGAAGCCAAGACGATTGAAAGTGCTTGTAAAAATCTCAAAGCTCAAGACAAAAGGCCTCAGCAATCTCAGGGCCAGGGAAACTGGAAGAGCCCGTCTGCGCGTTACAGGCAGACGGGCGGATACCAGAGAAGACAGATCTTCCGTTTCAGACCGAGAACCCAATACAAGCCGAATCGGACGAGTCGAGACAAAACTCGCTCGTCGAAATGTCGGTTACAACAAAGAACAAACCAGTTGCCATGCTGGCATTAACCGCCAAATTCTTGCATCATCAGCCTGCTGCCAGCACTAGTGCTTCGTTGTAAATTACGAATCTTTAATTTACACAAGTGAATAATAGTCAACATTTGTGCTAAATAATACGTACGTAAGTATTTAATTTTATTTCATTAATAATTTTCTAATACTTCTATACTATTTTTTATAGAATTAAATTTTTTTATATTTCTTCTACTTTTTCTAACCTACAAAACATATCATACATATTTTCAATAATAGAAGAAAGATTTATTTATAATTACTTTAATTTATATACATTTATATACAGATTCATTATATACTTTATTAAGAACATTTTATTTATACATTTTTAATTATATTTTATTATTTATATTTACAGCTTCTTCAATCACCTGCTATAATCAGTGATTTCTATTCATTTCATACTCTTGGTGATAATTATCTGTATGGCAAGCTCTGATTATCAAAAGTTGCATTAAATACTTTAAGTATATTACATTACTATAAATAGTGATTTTTACTGTGCTTTTAACCTTGCATGCTCTCAAAACTTTCTCCTGTGCATTCACAAATTTTTGTTTTCATGCATCGGTTCATACATCTAGCTTTGTTGTTTTTATTTATTATTTTGCATTGACTTATCTTTCTCTTATCTACAATCCTTTTCTTATTTCTTGTTTGTCGTCTTTTCTCAATTTATATTCTATTGTCTTCTAATTTTAAATGTTTTTTCATATTTACAGTTTTCTGCGTCATCTGTTAGAGCGGTACCATTTTGAACTTGATTCTCAATTTTGTTTGGAGTAGGTGTTCGATACCTGCATTAGAAGCTCTGTGTAAGTATAATTATTTTTTACACTATCTCTTTTGTATAATTTTAGTGCTGTTTTAATCTTTTCTCGCTGTAACATTTAGTTTTTATTATCCATTTTCTAAAATCCTTCAGTACGTTCACAGATTTTTCTTGTTTTTCTTAACTTTTTTCTATTAATTTTAATATTATAGTGACATTTTTCTTTATGCTTATTTGTTGTTATTTTTAATAATGACTCAGCAGATATTTTTCTCTTCTACGACTTCCACTCCTCATGTACCTCTTTTGCACATCCTCTGTGACGTGACGCTTTTCGAGCGCCGTCACAAGGGCGATAGCCCGGCCGAGGGAGCAAAGAGTCCTGGTGTTGCTCCTCGCGTGGAGAGAGCAGCCCGCGAGACTCCACAATCTTTGCGCGTTGTTTGTATTGTCATTCCCGTTTTATGTCGTTAATATCGTTTTTAAGTTGTAAGGCGAGACCCCGTGCGGGCGGCGTTGCGTGTTTTGTGCCTCAGGGCGAAGATGCAGCATTGCCAGGAAGACCGGACGCCGGGGGATCATCGAAGGGTGTCACGCGTTAGTGACCCCACAGCAAAAGGTCAGGTACCGCGATTCCGTCGCCTCCGCCATCCAAGCCCTATCTAACTCCGCTCTGGTTTTAGCCAAAATCAAAGAAGCGCAGAGACACGCAGCAGCGGACCTTGCCCGGCTGCAGACGGCTTCGAGGGCCCCGAAGATGCTGCACTCGGAAGGACCGGAGTATGGCCCGGCCAGCCTAACCAGTCTCTTCCGGGAAAATCGACTCATCAATACATTATCGGCCAAAGGATTGAGGAAACCACAGAGAGCGGGGGGGGGGCGCCCTGGATGAACTGTGAGCGGTTCTCAGGGGCCCCCCTTTTCGGAAAATCGGCAGGATGCGCAGGAAGGCGACGCGGATTTGGAGAGGACCTACGTGCAGAGCCGAGAAGAGCCACTGTTCGGTGTGCCGCAAGTGCGCGAGGATGACATCCAGGACTAGAGATGGTCGATTGTGACTCGATTAATCGACAATCGATTTTTTGTTCATATTCGATTGTTTTTTTTGTCGATTGTAGCAAATTCGATTAATCGATCGTACGATTGTTTTTGTATCACAAATAATTGAACAAAAGAGTTTAGGTCATCGCACACAAAATGATATAAATGCGTATGTATAGCATAACTGTCTCGACCAATAAGCATCTAGCATAAAGGCGCCAGGCGCCATAGATCACTCATTTAGATGTTCACTCTCATTGGTCGAGACGATCTTATGCTATTCATATGCACATATGTCATTTTGTGTGCGATGGCCCTTTCATTTTCGGTTGATCTAGAGAAACAAGTTTTCGGAATCATACCATCTTTAATCATTTTCGGTTTGTCGTTTGTCTCGTCCGTTGTTTTTCTTGACCAAATAACTAAACTGGTAAGTGATTTATCCGCAATATAAATTATTTATTAAATCGTTAATGTAAATGAATGTAAGCAATGCTCATATAAACATGAATATTCCTTGCGTAGTCGATGAGTGACAAATGAAAACATGCACACTTTTCAGTCTCCATGATATGACAATTTGATGGAAATTACTTGATTTTAGACAACAAGGAGAAATTACAACTCTTGCAACGTATATTGAATTTGGTTGTATAACCAAATTTGATTGTATATCGAAAGCATGCAGGTTCCACCGTCCACTGTGCACATGTCTCTCGACGACGTCGACTAGTGAGTGTAGACTTACCAGCGTGAAATATTTTAATTGCGCAATCATTTTAATAATCTCACTGCTATCGTTGTTTCAGCGATGACATTATGGTCAACTCCACATTGGACGCTTTGACTCAATCTCCTTCAATTGTGGAAGTTCCGCCTCAAAAACCGACATCAACTACTGAAGCACAGATTAAGTGAGTGCAATTTTGCATGACTGTTATATATGAAGTCTACTGTCATTAACTTTTTTATTTATTTTTATTTTTACATTATTGTATTTTAGTATTATTAGTGTTAGTAGTACATATATATAGCAGTTGTAAATATTATGTATTAGGATATATATAATATATATTAAATAATATATGAAATATGTATTCTCATTTTTTTTTCATTTTCAGGAACACGATAAAACCAAAGGGAAGTAACATGTGGAAATATTTTGAAAAAATCGATAGAGAGAGCGCAAAATGCAAAACTTGCTCTAAGATCATCAGGAATGATAGAAACACCACAAATCTGAAAAATCATCTCAATAGTAAACATCCTCTGTTACTGTCGCCAGAAAAAAGAAAATTAGACAGTAATCCAGGCAATTTTCCATTTTCAAGTGATGAAAAAAAAGAGATTGCAAATCGAAAGGTATTCTTGAACTATTCTTTATTGGAAAAGTTTGTAAATTTTTTGGATGGAGACCTAAAAGCTGCTGATTTCAATAAATATTTTCTGCCTGCGAGATACTAAATTAATTTTGTTAATTATGGATGATACACGTTTTTTTATAAAAAACATTTAAACAAAAATTTATTATCTCTGACTAAGCGGAGAATATTTATTGAAACCAGCAACCTTCGTGAATTCATGGTGTCAAAACTTTTCTTAGTCTGACATACTACTTTTATATAATTTATTTTTTGATAGTCGGCAAATGTTTTGATAAAAAAATCAAGTTTTAACAAATAACAATAAATGTAACAAACTGGCATATCAGACTATCCAAAAAAGGTTTTTGACATCGCTTATTTACGAAGGTTATTTGTTTCAATATCTGCAAGTCTCATACTTTATACTTTATTCATATATTTAAATTCCAGAAACGATTGAAGATAGAAGAAAAAGAGAATATCATAACTCATTTTAGGAGAATAGACTCAATGAAAGGTAAGTTATTTTTCCCGAGAAATGATGAGAATGATCATTCATTCCGATCTAATTTTTGTATTTTTTTCTCATCACAGAGGGTGAAACAGGTGCCACACGATTAACAGAAAAGATCATGTACATGATTGTAACTGATCATCAGCCCCTTTCAATGGTCGAATCCGAGGGCTTTTCAGAATTAATAAAATTCTTAGTGCCGCATTATAAGTTGCCTTCTCGCCAAACGATTACCCGCTTGATCGACGCGAAATATAGTAATATGAAGATTGCAGTAAAGAACCAACTTGCATTAGCTCCATCCCATGCCATTACGTGTGATATTTGGACTGACTGCAAAATGCAAAGTTATCTTGGCGTCACGGATCACTATTTAACACCTACCTTTAGTTTGAATCATATCACATTGGGAACCATACCACTGGCCTCCAATCATACTGGAGATCTAATTGAAGAAAAACTGCGAGAAGTCCTGTCGATGTTCGATATTGATTTGGAAAAAGTGGTGTGTGTTACGAGCGATAGTGCGGGAAATATGAAAAAAGGTATTCTACAACTAGTTGGCAGCGAAAAACACGTGCCTTGCGTCGCACACATTCTGTCGCATATCGTGCCAGATGCACTGCAATCATTAACATATATAAATGACATTCTATCACAAGTGCGGAGTATTGTTAGAAAAGTAAAAAACAATGTCAACGCGGGCGACGAATTGAAAAAACTGCAAATGCAGAATGGATTAAGCGAAGGGCAGTGTTTACGATTTCTCTTAGATATGAAAGTTCGATGGAATTCCACATATTTCATGGCCGCCAGGTACATCGAGTTGAAAAATTACGTATACACAGTTTTGCTGAAATGCCCCGATGCTCCTGATCCATTATCTCGGGATCAAATTCAAGTTCTGGAAGATTTAGTATTAATTTTCAAACCAATTCAGAATGTGATCACAGAAATTAGTGGAGATTCATACTCGACAGGTAGCATTGCCATCCCGATAATTCGTGGCCTGAAGCTCTGCATAAGCAAATTAAAACCGAATACTAAAATGGGCAAGGATTTGATGCTTCGCATCAGCGAAGCTTTGGAAAAACGATTTAAAGAGTTGGAGTCAAATCAAGTACTCGCAGTTGCTACTATACTTGATCCTCGATTCAAAAAGCTGGCTTTTGAATCACGTCTGAAATGTGCTAATGCAATAAATAAAATTAATCGTCTCATGAACGTTGCATCGATAAAAGAAAATGTGGGGCAAACTGCAAAAAACTCCGGGCCGATAGAAAATAATGAGGATAATGACATATGGAGTTTTCACGATCACCAAAATGAAGTACAAACGTCTGGTTACGAGCCTGGGTCAAATGGTGATGAAATTCATATCGAGCTGCAACAGTACATTAATCAGCCTCGTATCCCTCGAAAAAATGATCCTCTCGGATATTGGAAAATGGTGCAAACTGCATTTCCAACTCTCTCAAAAATCGCCATATTTTATGCAAACGCAGTCACATCATCGGTACCATCCGAACGTCTCTTTTCAGAGGCTGGGATTGTTGTTACTGACAGACGTAACAGATTGACTGGTGAGAGAGTCAACATTTTACTTTTTCTTTCATCTTTGCCTAAGGAGATGTGGGATTGTGGGCCTTGAATTATTCTTTGTAAAAGAATAAAACTTTAATATTATGGGTTTGCTCACGTCGCATGTCCCAACATGCTCCTATTCGTTCCAATATAATACAATCTATAATATTACGTTATGTATACTATAGTTTGGAGCGTATTGGAGTATGCGACGCGAACAAACCCTATATAATTTTACTTATATACTGTCATATTATGATCTTATTAATATCTTTAATGTTTGAATATTTTGTGTTCTTTGTTGTATATTATATGCACTGTGATACTGTAACGTTACGAGGTTTATTCTTTTTAGCTAAACTGGCTGCACTAGTTTAGAGTTTATCTTTCTCTTTCTAATGGGGAGGAAAAAAATAAACTCTGAACTAGTGCAGTCAGTTCAGTTAAAAAGAACAGACCTACGATCTCATTAGTATCTTTAATGTTTTTATGTTTATAAATATATTTCGTATTTTTTTCTTTTAATTTACACACTCTTTGTTTCTCCATTTGTATTTTTATTTGTACGCATTGTAATCATATCCACAATTTCCCACCACGTTAATTCCCATCCTCGCTGAGTCAATATGAGCATACATGCATGTCTATGCTATAATGGTTCAGGTGATATACGTATAATTATATTTTTATTCAATTTGTGACTTGCATTAATTAATAATTATTTTCGTTTATTTTTTAGATACACGAAGAGAACATAATGCAATGCATTAATTTTTATTTTTAATATTTCTGTATTTTGTAATAAATAAAATGTTTAAAATAATTTCTTTTTTGTCTTCATTTGATTTGAAGAAGAAATCTAAAATTAATCGATTATTTTTCGATTATTTTT